CTGCCTCTAGGAGCTAAAAGAATAGGAGTAAAATGGATTTTCAAAACTAAATACAATGAGGCAGGGGAGATTGACAAGTACAAGGCTCGGTTGGTAGCAAAAGGCTACTCACAGAGGCAAGGAGTGGATTTTACAGAAGTTTATGCTCCAGTGGCTCGAATGAATACAATTAGAGTGATGCACAGAGAGGCTGGATTGTGTATCAACCCGACGTCAAATCAGCATTTCTGCATGGTGAATTAATTGAAGATGTCTGTGTCGAGCAACCTTTGGGGTATGACAAGAAAGGAGAAGAGGATAAAGTTTACAAGCTACAGAAAGCGCTGTATGGATTAAAGCAAGCACCCCGTGCTTGGTTTAGTCGAATTGATGCCTACTTAAAGAAAGAAGGATTTCAGAAATGTAGCAGTAAGCAGACTCTTTTCTCCAAAATTGACAGTGAAGGTAAAATCTTGCTAGTAAGAATTTATATTGATGATCTTATCTATACTAGCAATGATGATGTGATGTTGGGAGAATTCAAAACCTCTAAGATGGAGTTCGAAATGACAGACTTAGGGAAGATGAGGTTCTTTCTTGGTCTAGAAGTTTTGCAAAGAGATGATGGTATTTTTATGTGTCAAATGGAGTATGTAATGGAGGTGCTTAGGAGGCTTGGGATGGAGGAAACCAAAGAAGTGAAGAGTCCAATAGTTCCAGGCTGCAAGTTGAGCAAAAACGGATAGTCGGTGAATGAAACCTACTACAAACAAATTGTAGGAAGTTTGATGTATTTGACGGCCTCAAGAACGGATCTGATGTTTGTAGTGAGCTTACTAAGTAGATTCATGTCCCAGCCAACAGAAATGCATTTCCAAGCTGCCAAGAGGGTGATGCGATAGCTTAAAGGTACAAGTTATGGTATTTTCTATAAGAAACAGGAATATGAAGAACTTGTTGCATTTACGGATAGTGATTACGCCGGAGACTTAGATGATCGGAAAAGCACTTCCGGTTATATGTTCTTAATTGGGGTAAGTGCAGTATCTTGGACGTCAAAGAGGCAACATATAGTCACATTATCAACAACAGAGACAGAGTATATTGCTGCGACAGGTTGTGCTCAGCAAGCCATTTGGCTGAAACAAGTTCTAGAGGAGATAGGAAGCAAACAAGATGAAAGCATTGTGATTTGGTGTGATAATAGTTCAACCATAAAGCTCTCCAAGAATCCAGTATTTCATGGACGCAGCAAGCATATTGCAGTCAGGTTTTAGTTTCTTAGAAAATTAACTCATGATGGTGGTTGTTAAATTAGTTCATTGTGATACTAGTGAGCAGCTGCCAGATATGTTCACAAAATCTTTGAAACTGGAGGCTTTTGAGAAACTCGGAAAGGTGTTAGGAGTTTGTGAATTGAATAGTATAAGCTGAGTGCTTGAACGCACTAGCTTAAGGGAGGGATTGTTGGAAGACTTAGTCGTGGTTGTTGTTGTTTGTTGCTTGAAAGTAGGGAATCTTGGTTATCTAGAGTCTCTGTCAAATAATGATCCTACAAGTTAGGATGTAGTTGTTAGCTTTGAAATTTTCAATTTCTGTAGTTTTACTACTATGTTAGTGGGCTGCAATTTCTCTTTCTGTTAGGTTGTAAGGCTATAAAGCCAGATGTTTGCATTCAATAAAGTATTGTAGTATTCAATCAATCTTTGTTTCTCAGATACCTAGCTTGATACCAATTCTTAACAATTGGTATCAGAGCTCACTAGGGGCCTGATTGTGAGTGTGTGTGAGAGTGCAAACAGGAGAGAAAGTGAGGAACAAAGAAGAGCAAGCACGAGTGAAGAGTGAGAAATTAGAGTGTAGAGATGGCAACAGAGAAGGATGCTATCCTGAGCATTCCTAAGTTTGATGGAGACTATGAGTATTGGGCGATGCTCATGGAGAATTTGATACGATCAAAGGAGTGGTGGCATTTGGTGGAGACAGGTTATACCGAACCAGCGAGAGGCGAGATCCTAAATGGTGCCCAGAAAGTAGAGCTAGTAGACTTGAAGCTGAAGGATTTAAAGGTAAAGAATTACCTTTTCCAAGCCATTGACAAGACGACCTTGAAGACTATCACCCAAAAGGACACAGCTAAGCAGCTACGGGAGTCAATGAAGACAAGGTTCCAAGGAGATGAGAACGTGCGCAATGCACAGCTGCAGACACTTCGAAGAGATTTTGAGGTACTTGAGATGAAAATTGGTGAGTCAATTACTGATTATTTTTCAAGAGTAGTGTTAGTCTGCAATAATATGAGCAATCTAGGAGAAGGCTTGGAGGATGCTAAGATTGTAGAGAAGATTCTGCGTACACTTCCTGAGAGCTGGAATTTTGTTGTATGTTCACTTGAGGAATCGAAAGATATCAAAAGTCTTTCGGTGAATCAACTTCGGAGCTCTCTGCTAGTTCATGAACAAAAGTTTCGGAAGAGGAGTACTGATGAGGAGCAAGCTCTGAAAGTCTCATATGAAGGTGGGAGAGGACGAGGAAATCGAGGAGGTTTTCATGGAAGAGGTAGAGGAAGAGGCCGACAAACATTCAATCGTGCAACAATTGAATGCTTTCGATGTCACAAGCTTGGGCACTTCCAATATAAGTGTCCAGAAACGGAGAAAGAAGCAAACTATGCAAACATAGATAGAGGTGAGACTTTGTTGCTTATGTCTCATATTGAAGTCACCGAAAACTTTGCAAGAGGCTCAGCGGTGGAACTCAGTTACGAAGAAGAGTTGGCATTGATGGCACAAGCAGAGGCAAATGGAGTAAGTAGAGCAAAAGCTTGTTTGTAGACTCAGGTTGTTCTAATCATATGTGTGGGGATAAGAAGATGTTTTCAGACTGACGGCGAGTTTAGACACTTGGTGAAGCTCGGGAACAACACCAAGATGAATGTAGAAGGAAAACGCAGCGTGTAATTGAGTATCAATGGAGTGAAGCATGTAGTCACAAAAGTTTATTATGTACCGGAGCTCAAGAACAACCTATTGAGTGTTGGTCAATGGCAAGAGAAGGGTCTAGTTATTCTGATGCATGAAGGGAAGTGCAGAATTTACCATCCAAGGAGAGGATTGATCATTGAAACAACGATGACTGCAAATAGGATGTTTGTTATTATGGCCGGAGCAGTTGCAACTCCCACCAACTGCTTTCTCACCTCAACACTTGACCTGCCACAACTCTGGCATTACAGGTACGGTCACTTGAGCTACAAGGGTCTGAAGACCTTACATAGTAAGAACATTGCTCATGGGTTGCCAAAGTTTGATGTTGAAAAGAAGGAATGTACAGATTGTCTCCTTGTAAAGAAGAATAGAAATTCCTTTCCAAAGAAGAGCACTTAGAGGGCAAAACAAAGGTTGGAGCTAGTTCATGCTGATCTCTACGGACCGATCACACCAGAATCAAACAGTAGTAAAAGGTACATTTAGCTCCTTTCTAGCTTTCAAAAAGAAATGTTGAAAAAGAAACAGGTCTATCAATCAAGTGCTTTCGGACTAACAGATGTGGAGAGTTCAATTCAAATGAGTTCAATGAATTTTGCAAGGAAAATGGAATCAAGAGGCAGTTGACAGGATCATATTCACCACAACAGAATGGAGTTGCGGAGAGGAGTAGTAGAACAATTCTAAACATGGTGAGATCGATGCTTTCCGAAAAGAAGATGTCGAAGACCTTTTGGCCATAAGAAGTCAATTGGACGACGTTTGTGTTAAACATATGTCTTAACAAGTGTAGTGAAAGACATGACACCTCAGGAGGCTTGGAGCGGAGAGAAACCTTCTGTGGAATTCTTTAGAGTCTTCGGGTGTATTGCTTTCATCCATGTTCTAGAGGCTAGAAGAACCAAATTGGAGGATAGAAGTGTACTCTGCGTCCTACTTGGAGTGAGTGAAGAGTCAAAGGCCAACAAAATCTACAATCCTATCACCAAAAAGATAGTGATTAGCAGAGATGTAGTGTTCGAAGAAAAAAGAGAGTGGGACGGCGATACAAGCTATGAGCAACAAGTGTGAATGGAGCTGGAGTGTGGAGAAGATCAAGGTGTCACCGACGAGATAGAAGATGAAGCATCTGACGATGATGATGAGTTCGAAGATCAAGCGGGAAATTCAAGAGGAGGTACTTTGAACTCAAGTGAGAAAGAAGAAAATGTAGATAATTCGTCTATGGGTTATGAGAGACCAGAAGCAAGGGAGGCAAGAGAAAGAGGACCACCAGCTTAGATGAGTAATTATACACCAAGTTCTGGACTTTCTGGTTTAGGAATTTCAGACTTTGAGTTGCAAGCTAATATGGCACTTGTGATGTCTGATGATCCTACAAACTTCGAGGATGCAGTAGGAAGTGAGAAGTGGAGAAAGATCATGGATGCAGAGATCGAGTCCATTGAGAAGAACAACACATGGAAACTGGTTAAGCTGCCTCCAGGAGCTAAAAGGATAGGAGTAAAATGGATTTTCAAAACTAAATACAATGAGGCAGGGGAGATTGACAAGTACAATGCTTGGTTGGTAGCAAAAGGCTACTCGCAGAGGCAAGAAGTGGATTTTACAGAAGTTTATGCTCCGGTGGATCGAATGGATACAATTAGAGTGATGCTTGCTCTTGTTGCACAGAGAGGCTGGATTGTGCAACTCGACATCAAATCAGCATTCTTGAATGGTGAATTAATTGAAGATGTCTATGTCGAGCAACCTTTGGGGTATGAGAAGAAAAGAGAAGAGGATAAAGTTTACAAGCTACAGAAAGCGCTGCATGGATTAAAACAAGCACCTCGTGCTTCGTTTAGTCGAATTGAAGCCTAATTCAACAAAGAAGGATTTCAGAAATGTAGCAGTGAGCAGACTCTTTTCTCTGAAATTGACACTGGAGGTAAAATCTTGCTACTAAGTGTTTATATTGATGATCTTATCTATACTAGCAATGATGATGTGATGTTGGGAGAATTCAAAACCTCTATGATGGAGGAGTTCGAAATGACGGACTTAGGGAAGATGAGGCTCTTTCTTGGTCTAGAAGTTTTGCAAAGAGATGATGGCATTTTTATGTGTCAAAGGTAGTATGTAATGGAGGTGCTTGAGAGGCTTGGGATGGAGGAAAGCAAAGAAGTGAAGAGTCCAATAATTCCAGGCTGCAAGTTGAGCAAAATGGAGGAGAATTGGTGAATGAAACCTACTACAAACAAATTGTAGGAAGTTTGATGGATTTGACGGCCTCAAGACCGGATCTGATGTTTGTAGTGAGCCCATTGAGCAGATTCATGTCCCAGCCAACAGAAATGCATTTCCAAGCTGCCAAGAGGATGATGCGATATCTTAAAAGTAGTACAAGTTATGGTATTTTCTATAAGAAGCAGGAATATGAAGAACTTGTTGCGTTTACGGATAGTGATTATGCCGGAGATTTGGATGATCGGAAAAGCACTTCCGGTTATTTTTTCTTAATTGGGGGAAGTGCAGTATCTTGGGCGTCGAAGAAGCAACCTATAGTCACACTATCAACAACAGAGACGGAGTATGTTGTTGCGACAGGTTGTGCTCAGCAAGTCATTTGGCTAAAACAAGTTCTAGAGGAAATGGGAAGCAAACAAGATGGAAGCATTGTGATTTGATGTGATAATAGTTCAACCATAAAGCTCTCCAAGAATCCAGTATTTCATGGACACAGCAAGCATATTGTAGTCAGGTTTTATTTTCTCAGAAATTTAACTCATGATGGTGTTGTTAAATTAGTTCATTGTGATACTAGTGAGCTGCTGGCAGATATGTTTACAAAACCATTGAAACTGGAGGCTTTTGAGAAACTCAGAAAGGTGTTGGGAGTTTGTGATTTGAACAGTATAAGCCGAGTGCTTGAACGCACTAGCTTAAGGGGGGATTGTTGGAAGACTTAGTCGTGGTGGTTGTTGTTTGTTGCTTGAAAGTAGCAGCCTTGGTTATCTAAAGTCTCAGTCAAATAATGATCCTACAAGTTAGGATGTAGTTCTTAGCTTTGAAATTTTCAATTTCTGTTATTTTACCACTATGTTAGTGGGCTGCAATTTCTCTCTTTCTGTTAGGTTGTAAGGCTACAAAGCGAAAAGTTTGCATTCAATAAAGTATTGTAGTATTCAATCAATCTTTACCTATTTTGATACGAATTCTCAACAAAAACAAGCATGACAGACTTTGACACCAAGGTAACAATTCATAGTTAAAGATGAAAACCAATTCTCAACAAAAACAAGCATGACAGACTTTGACACCAAGGTAACAATTCATAGTTAAAGATGAAAACTCTGTAAAAAGGAATCTAATATAAAATAAAGGTGACGCAATTAAACCAAAGGTTCCGGTGACAATACTCAACCTAAGGATAACAAAAATTAGATGTGAAAAATAAATATAACAAATAATATGCTAATGGTATCAAGTTATAAAGAAAAATAATGATTCATAACAATAAGTAACAAAGTTTAAAATGAATATGACAATTAATGGCTAAAAGTTACAAATTTCAAAAAAAGGTCATAAGATAAAGGTAAGGAACTGTGACAAAATGATCTAAAAAGGAAAAAGTGACAATTAAGCCAAAGTCATAACCAAAGATAACAAACCTCAACTTAAGGATACCAAATCTCAACTTAAACAACACCAAAATCTAAAATTAAAAAAAATAAAATAAAAATATCACGCTGACTTTAACGAGGGTGAAGTAGACAACCCTTTAAAACTGGGTCATGATTAAACCTAGGCCAGTTGGGATGTTTTGTGTTTCGCAACAAACTGGGTAAAAATTGGCCTAGTTTTTGTAGGCCAAAACCTGACCATTAAAGTGATTCTATTTTGAGCCAGCCCTTCCTTGGTCCAAACTAGAACCAAATTAGAATAGAACTAGGCTAGGATTCGACCTAACCTAGTTTTGAATGGGTTGCTAGACAACCTTCAATGAAAAAAGAATGTATAGCTAAATGTGACAAAGTTCAAAGCTAGTAATAGTTAATAGCTAGAGTTAACAAAGTCCAGCAAGGTAATAATTCAAAGTTAAACGTAACAAAGTTCAAATCAAATTTGACAAATTTCAACTCAAAGATAACAAATAAGAAATAAGCATAACACGGTTACACAAAAAGTTCATAGCTAAAGTTGACAAACCTCAATACAAAAGATAATAAAATCTAAAGATAACAAAATTAAAAATTAAATTAAATTAATGCTACAGATATTGAGTAAAATTAAAAAGAATCAAGTTTAAAACAAATAGAATAATTAATAGCTAAATGTGACAAACATCAACATAAATGTAACAATGCTTAACTGAAGGTGACAAAATTCAAAACAAAAATATACTTTGGCTTAGAACTATCAAATAAAAACAATAAAGGTAACCCAATTAACCGAAAGGATTATAGTTGTAGCTGTACATCTCAACCTAAGGAAAATAAGATCGAAAGGCGACAAATATGAAGAACTATGCCAAATTGTAACAAATTAGACACAAAGGTAGCAATTCAAAGCTATAGGTGAGAAGAAGTAAACATAAATGCAACATTGAACAACTAAAGGCAGCAAACATTGTCACAATGGTAACAATAATAAATAAAGATAACACAATTAACTGAAAAGTTCATAGCTAAAGGTGACAAACTTCGAAACAAATGTATTAATGCATAACTAAAGGTGACAAATTCATAACAAAGATGGCAAACTTTAACTGAAAGGTGTCAAATAAAAAGTAAACATAACACAATTAAGCGAAGGGTAATGAACCACAACCTAAAGATAACAAAATCTAAAAGCCATAAATATAAAGAACAAGATTATGTTAAAGGTAACAAGTTAGACACAAACATAACAATTCAAAGCTAAAGGCAACAAACAAGAAAAGTAAGTGCAACATTTAATGACTAAAGTTAACAAACCTCAACATAAAGGTAAAAACTAATATATAAAGACAACACAATTTAATGGCTAAAGGTGACAAACCTCGTAGAAAATAAAAGTAAAGATAACACAATTAAGCAAAGGGTAATAAACCACAACCTAAAGATAACAAAATCTAAATCTAAAGGTGATAAATATAAAGAACAAAATTATGCTAAGGGTAACATAACAATTCAAAGCTGAAGGGAACAAACGCAAAAAGTAAGTGTCACATTTAATAGCAAAACTTAACAAACCTCAACATAAAGGTAAAAATAATATATAAAGAAAACAATTTAATGGCTAAAGGTGTCAGCCCTCGGTAGAAAATAATAACTATACATGTAACAAAAAAAAATTATGCTAAAGGTAACAAGTTAGACACAAAGGTATTAGTTCATAGCAAAGGATATCAAAGACTAAAAAATAAATGCAACACTTAATAAATAATGGTAACAAACTTCAACGCAAAAGTATCAAATAAAAATGACAAAGATTAACAATACACATAATAAAAATTGAAATAACAAAATTATGTTGAAGTTAACAAGTTAGACACAAGGTAACAAAGATTAGAAATAAATACAACACCTAATAAATAATGATAACAAACTTCGACACAAATGTATCAAATAAAATTAACTATTGAAAATAAATACAACGATTAAAAATAAATATAACACAGATTAAAATAACAAAATTATGATAAGGGTAACAAGTTAAACAGAAAGGTAATAATTTATAGGTAAAAGTTACAAAATTTTAAAAATAAATTAATAAATAAATGTAACAAACTTCGACACGAAGGTATCAAGCAAAAATAACAAGGCTTAAAAATAAATACAGCAAAGAAATAACAAAATTATGCTAAAGGTAACAAGTTAAATTCAAAAGGTAACAATTTATAGGTAATGGTAACATGGATAAAAAATTGATGCAACAACTAATAAATAAAGTCAACAAACTTTGATGCAAAGGTATCAAACAAAAATAACAAAGACTAAAAATAAATATGACAAAAAGAAAAATAACAAAATTATGCTAAAGGTGACAAGTTACAGACAGAGGAAATAGTTTATATATAACAGTAACAATGATTAAAAATAAAAGCAACAGTTAATAAATAAAGGTAACACTTCGATGCAAAGGAATCAAATAAAAATATCAAAGATTAAACATAAATATAATAAAAAGTCAAAAATAAAAAATAACAAAACTCTGCTAAAGGTAGCAAGTTATACTCAAAAGTAGCAATGTACAGGTAATAGTAACAAAGATAAAAAAATTTATGCAACTTCACCATGAAGGCATCAAATAAAAATAACAAAGACTATAAATAAATAAAATAAAAATTAGAATAACAAAATCACAAAGGTAACAATTCATAACTAAAGGTAACAAATATAAACAATAAATGAGACTCGAACATCTAAAGGCAACAAACTTCAACATAAAGGTAACAATAATAAATTAACGTAACACAATTAACCGAAATTTTTATAGCTAAAGGTGACAATTGATGAAGATAAGTGTCGCTTCGGGAAACATGGGTATTGAAAATCTACAACGGTAAAAAGAATAAAGAAAATAAAATTATTATAAAGGTAGTATGTTATATTAAATAGAAAGGTAATGCTTCATAACCAAGGTAACAATGTTTAAAACAAATATAACAATTAATAGCTATGCATAACAAACTTCAACACAAAGGTAACATTGCATAACTAAAGATGACAAAATTCAAAAAAAGGATGACAAACTTTAACACAACAAATAAAAAAACAAAGGTAATACTATTAAGCAAAAGGTTCATGGTTAAAGGTGACAACCCGCAACCTAAAGATAACTGAATCTGAAGGTGGCATAAATAAAGATAACGAAGTTACACTAAAGATAACAAGTTAGACATAAATGTACCAATTCATAGCTAAAGATAACAAATATAAAAAAAAAAGTAACAAACATTGCCACAAAACTAACAATAATTAATAAAGATAAAACAACTAACCAAAAAGTTCATAGCTAAAGTTGTCATACTTCGACTTAGCAATAATAAAATTGAAAGGTAACAAGCACAAAGGAAACAAATTTATGCTAAAGGTAACATGTTAAATAGAAAGCTAATAGCTATAACAAATTAGAAGTGAATGTAACATTTAATAACTAAAGATAACAAACTGACACAAAGGTAACAATTTATAGCTAATGGTGAGAAAGTTCAACACAAAGATGACAAACCTTGACATAAAATATTAAATAAAACAATTTAGGTAACACAACTAAGATAGAGGTTCGTAGCTAAAAGGGGCAAAAAATTGACCAAATGATAACGAAATTTAAAGATATAAATATAAAGGTGACAAAATTATGCTAAATGTAAAAAATTAGACACAAAGGTAACAATTCTATCTAAAGGCAACAAAGTTAACCGTATGTAGCAATTAATAGCTACAAGCGAATAATTTCAACACAAAGGTAATAAATTTCAAAACAAAGGCGACAAAATTGAACAAAAAAATATATCTCATAAAAATTCATTACAAAGGTAACAAATTTTAAAATAAAGGTAACAATTAATAGTTAACAAACTTAGTGTAACACTAAGGTAATAATGCTTAGCTCAAGGTGACAACAAAATTCAAACAAACGTAATGCAGTTCCTTTTCTACCAATATGTTTCTAGTTTTCACCAAATTTCCAATATCCACTA